ATGGTAGGAAAGTGTATGAATGTACTAAGTAGTATCCCACTGTACTCCATTCATAAGGTAGGTTTTATTACAAAGCTCACACCAGGTACTTACAAACATGCCCTGTTCCTTTCCAGCTGCAGAAACTGTGTCACTGCTTTCTAGCTCAGCTCCTGCAGACTCTTCTCAGCCCCTTCCCTGTAGGTCATTTTCCTCTGTCCACCCCTCTGCCCCTCACCCTCCCTCCTGAATAAATAAAGGAATCAGTGAACTGCCTTGTTCTTTCATGACAGTTGTCATGGGTTGGATTGTGTCACCCTCAAAGATGTTTAATACCTGGTACTTCAGAATATGGCCTTCTCTGGAAATAGAGTCTTTACAGAGATAACAGTTAAAATGAGGTCATTAGGGTGGATCTTAATCCAGTATATTGGTGTCCTGGTAAAAGGGGGAAATCTGGATGCAGAGACCAATGTACAGAGGGAAGATGAAGAGAGGAGGCAGGGAGAGGGCGGCCATCACAGGCCGAGCACGGAGGCCTGAGTGGGATGCCCCTCACAGCCCTCAAGGGAACCAGCCCTGCTGACACCATAATCTTGGACTTCCGGCCCCCCAGAACTGTGAGATGATACACTGCTGCTGTTTAAAAAGCCACTCCATGTGTGGTACTTTGTTAGGGCAGCTCTAGCACATTGGTGCAATGTTGTATTTCCCTAAGAGTGAAAAGCTGGAAACGATGGCATGTCCGAGGATAAGGGAACAGTTGTAAGAGGAGGCCGGGGTTTCTCCACCTCTCCTTCTTCCAGTTGCTTCAGCCATTCTTAAGTCATTTTGAAATTGAGTTTGACTAGCATACACCTTTTTGTTAGTTCAGGATCCTCAAGTCCATGGGAAAATATTATCGGGTTACACACAAGGAACAAAATGGATCTGGATTTGGAACAAAGATGAAGCATTTAATTTATCTGCATTTTACTTCAAGAACAGGGAGCAGCCGGGAGCGGTGGCTAACACCTATAATCCCAGCACTTTAGGAGGTAGAGGCAAGAGGATTGCCGAGCCCAGGGGTTTGAGACCAACCTGGACAATTTGGCGAGACCTCATCTCTACAATCAATCAATCAATCAATAAAATTAGCCAGGCATGGTGGCACACGCCTGTGGTTTCAGCTAATTGTTCTACTTCCAAGTGGAACAATCACCTGAGCTCAGCAAGTCAAGGCTGTGGTGGCCGTAAGGGTGCCACTGCACTCCAGTCTAGGTGACAGAGTGAGACTCCTACTCAAAAAGAAAAAAAGCAGATTTCGTTCCACAACATTATAACAAATAACATCTAACAGATACTTCCATTTTGTGACCAGTTAAGAGAGAGAGGACAATCAAGCCACAATGTGATGAATTGAGGAAAGGTAATCTTACTAACACCAATGGTCTCTATTTTAACAAAGTGCTTTCACATTCATGGACTCACTAAAGTGGGAGGAAGGAAGACAGAACAAGAACTGGGACGAGGAAATGCCCTGCACTGTCCACAGCCGCCAGCACAGACTCCAGGGCAGGACTGCCAAGGCCACCTTCCCTCACCATAAGCCCCTGCTGGCCAGGGCAATCTTTTGTTTTCCTACTGGTCGGCACTTGAAAGTTGTGTATAACCACCAGGAAGCCGCAGGCTCTAGGTGACCAAACAGGAACTGGATCAACATCTAACAAGCAGTACAGAGCCCTCATCCACGAAAACCACAGGCCAAGCCTGCGGCACCTGTATCATGTGCCCAACCCAAGGCTGGGCTCAAGAGGGGCCCAACGAACAGTGCTTGAGTAGGTGACTCATGCTTAGAGGTGAAGACAACACAAATCTGAGTGGAGATGCTGAGATTCTAGCACTATTAGGTAAAAAGAAAAGTTTGGAGAAAGAGGGGTTTCTTCTCAAATGCATTTCTGCATACGTAGAAAGTTAATATGGGGGCTACCAGGAAAATCTGGGATAGAAAAATAACATTTCCTTTTTTTCTTCATTAAGAAGTCATCAGAGGCTAGGCTCGGTGGCTAAGTCTGTAATCCCGGCACTTTGGGAGACCAAGGCGAGTGGATTGCCTGAGCCCGCGGGTTCGAGAACCGCCCAGCAACTTCCTGAGACCTCGTCTCTACAATAAATAAAAAATTAGCCGAGTGCGGTAGTGTGTGCCGGTAATTCCGGCTACTTGGAAGGCTGAGGCGGGAGGATCACCTGAGCCCAGCAGGTCGAGGCTGCGGTGGCTGGGAGCGTGCCACTGCACTCCAGTCTGGGCAACAAAGAGTGAGACTCCAACTCAAAAAGAAAAGAAAAAATCTTCAGAAGAATGCTTTTTTCCCCTTTAGGGTCTTCAAGTCACTAACTTGGGGTTCTTCTAAGTGTCTGGGTTCAGCCAGGCCTGTCTTTATGTTCACTGTCCAGTTAAGCAAACATGATGAGTTCAGAAGTCACCCAGAGATCAAGGAGCCATCCCCACCTTTTGGAACTTGCCATCCTGTGTGAAATAAGGGGTGTTTGTGTGCAGACACATGTTTAACAGTGTCAAACGTGGTATAAAGACATGATATCCCTTCAACCAAAGGTTTTAAGTCACCAAGAACCAAATGAGCAGTCCTAACCATGGACTTTAGGGTAGGCATGTTCATACTTGACTTACAGACTTGCAGTTCTGCAACTCTTTTGCCTCAGAACCTCTTTATAATTCTCAATATTATTGAGAACCCCAAAGAGTTCAGCTTATGTTGGTTATGGCAATCAATATTTAGCATATAAGACATTTAAACTGAGAAATTTTTAAAACCCAAGAATACACAGGCACACTCCAACTAGCTGTCAGAGTTATGACATCACATGGAATGTAGCTTCTGGAAGATTCCACCATGCACTACTGAGAGAATGAAAATGGGGGAAAAAATAACACCCCAGTATTATGAAAATCATTTTGACTTCATGGACTTACTTAAAAGGTCTCAAGGGCCCCCCAGGGCTCCAGGTCACATTTGGAGGACCACCAGAGGTAATAAGCGCTAACAAATGGGGGGGTGCAGCAAAGAGCAATGGGCTTCCTGAAAACATGTAAAATGGCCATCTCTTCTAGTGTTCTGTGAAGCCATAGTGAGACACTCCAGCATGGGTGACAGACTCCAACTCAAAAAATTTTTATGCCATCATGGAAGAATTTCCTGAGTCAGGACATTTAATATTTAAGGAAAATATACAACAAGGATGCTATAAAATGTCTACAGAACACATGCTTTCTTGGAAAAAAGTTGAGTGCAAGCATCCCTGGGAAATACCTTCTCATCAGAGGCAGGAAAGCTCCCTTTCATGGTCTCAGTCATTACTGTTCACATAGGTGACCTCAGTTGGTCTAAGGCTGCCATGAGAACAAGCTTCAGTAACCCAGCAATGGATAGTTATAAAACTCTGTACCAGAATTTTAAATATAAAGACACCCAATTCCTCTAAATGCTCAAAACTTAACGACATACTAGCCAGGCAGTAGGAGGGAGTGAAAAGCTGGCCCCAACTGGAGCCCATCTCTCCTCCGGGGGAATCCATACACAAGCCACACCTGAGTCACAGGACCAGACACTGGATTTCTCTTTCTAGCAGGAGACAGCTTTTACCAGGCTCTAGGCCAGGGAAATGCTGAGTTAAACGAGTTCACTGTAAAGCTCAGGGCCTTTAGGAATTGTCTAAGATTTTGCCATGTTTCCCACATTTATTTAACGAAATCCTTTCTCTCAAAACACCAATTAACATCTTGTTGAGCTAACATTTGGGGAAGGTGTTTTTATAAGAGACTACGTTTATAGATCTTGTTTGTTTTTAAGTTAGCGGTTGGAGACTGAGGATGCAATCTCCCTTAGAAAACAATGTTACCTGTGATTAAATGCCTGTCAAAAAACAATAACAAAAATACAAAGCCATTTAACCCATAATGTAGCTGAAGCAGTGCAAGAAAACAAATTCTCAGCTTCAACTGGGCCACAGACCCATTTTTTTCCTCTAGCTGCAGCTCCTTAGGGCTGCTCATTTTGGTCTCAGCTATGCCTTTGAGAGAGACCCCTTATGAGGGTTATCTGGTGGTTGGCGTCTCCTGGGCCAGGTGTTCCTCTAAAAATTAGAGGGCAGTTTAGTAGGTTCTAGCAACAAAGTTGTCATGGTTAGCTTCCCATTTTAAATTTTCATGATAAATCACCAGTTTATATTCAAGAAGTTTAGGAATGGGCTAGTGTTCACTGGAGCCATGTTCTAGACTTTTTTTTTCCATTTGAGAAAATGGTAGAAAGGTATTTTTGGGTTTTTTTCTGTGTTGGAGTCTCTGTCTCCCAGGCGGGAGTGCAGTGGCATGCTCACGACCACCACAGCCTCAATCTGCTAGCCTCAGATGAACCTTCCACCTCAGCCTCCTGAGGAGCTGGGACTTCAGGCATGCGCTACCATGCCCAGGTAATTTTTTTTTTCATTTATGGTAGAAACGGTGTCAAGCCAGGCTCGGTGGCTCAGCCTGTAATCCCAGCGCTTTGGGAGGCTGAGGTAAGTGGATTTCCTGAGCCCGCGGGTTCGAGACCTGCCTGGGCA